GAGTCTGTACTTCTTTGAGTACAATTTTTCCACAACTTTAAAACTGAAGCATACAAGGAATATATGTTTGATTCCAAAAAAAGACAAATGAGAGAGAAAAATAAGCAAAAATGTATTTTGTCTTTTAAGATTTTGGTTTAGTTTGCATGATAGTCTTGAAAAAAGTGCTGTGGGTCTGACTGTGTCGTATCTCTGGCTGTAGAGCTTGTCAAACGTGTGTGTGCGAACACCGTACACATAAGGGGTACAGGATAGAGAGAAATGTCAGGTTTTTGTCCACAGACATGAAAATAAACCATCATTAGCTCTGAAGCCTGACAGTATGTGTCTGCAGAGGAACTGAGAAGAAAGACCAGTGTTGCTGCAAAAAATATTTTTGCCACATCTGGATCTGGTTGGGAGTTGGCCATGGAGGGACCTCCACTGGCTAAGCAGCAAATGAAAAACAGAGGGCCAAAACGATTGAACTGTCATTGGTAGAACTGTGATTTCCATCCTATCAGAGGCTCTGGCTGAGACCCGGGGGCCTGGCTATCTATACAGCTTACACAAAAACCTGTCTGGGACTAGTTAGCGCTGAGCTAGTACACTTACCTGTACATGAAATCAATCAGGTCAATTTTCTCAGAGCGGCAGCCAAACACAAGCTAAGTGATGATGACTACCAATTGGTCGCTATGTCTTTTTTACTAGACTGTACAATCAAACAAAAAGTGGCCACTGTAATGGAAGATACTTTTCCATGTTCCTCTTTCATCATCGTAATACAAGCCTAACTTCGCTTTTGCCTTCCTTTGCCTCGACCCTGAAATCAAAAAATCAAAGTGGATATACAGGGGCTTTAGGAAGAGAGACATTTTGCTTTCATTTCTTTGGGCCTCCTGAACTTACATGTGAACTTTTAACATGTGTTGAGGGCTCCAGTGATGTTATTGAAATTGACACTGCTATGCTAAGAGGGGGAAAGAGAGAGCAGCTGAGCATTCTCCATCATCGTACAGCCATGCTCTACGCACATGCGCACTCACACACGCACAACGACCAGCTGAAAAAGTTCACAATCCAAACTCACTGCCAGGAATTGAGCAGAAAAATCCAAAACAATCTTTTTTTTCTCTATTCCTAAAGAAGAGCAAATCTAACTGTCAGCTCAGTGAGGATTATTCCACCACGGCTGGCTCCCCAACTTCCCCATCGTAATCCACCCAAAAAACTCTTGGTGAAGCCTTTCAAAACAATTTATGCAAACAAACATCAAGCGCAGCTATTTGTATTGGCACCACTTTGCAGTAAACCAGACTGAACCAGGACCAGATGGGGCTGGGCCCTCTCTGTCTCCGTGTGGCGCAACACTAGAGGCAGCTCTGCAGACACGCTCGGTGCAGAGCAACATCTTCTGTAAATGAGATCGTTTCAATATTTAGACCACTTCTCATCACATTTCCCACTTCTGAGTGGAGATGTGTTTATGTGTGGTTGGTTGTCACAAGGACACACAAAACCACCGGGTGAATTTTGCTAAATTTGGTTAAGGGGTTGTCAAATCTTTGCACAAATTTGTCCTCGTTTCCATTCTGTATATCCTTAAAGCAGGCTAGCATCCATGAACATAGTGTTGTTAACATCCTTCATGACTCATATTGAGAAAACCAACTTATCACTTCCTATTCTACTCAACTCTTGACCCCCTGCAGCAGCTAATTTATGTGAGTAGATTATATCAAATGTCGAAAAGCGCTTGTGGCTCAAAGCTTTGCTGCATAATGTTTAAGTTCCCCTGCTTTCAAAATATGGCTTAACATGAGAGAAAAGATGCCGACACATACCATGACCCGCCTGGTGTTGACAGCGGTGGCTGTGCTGTGGCCGGTAATTGGACTGACAGTAATAGGAACTGTCTTTCTGCCTCTGCGGGCTCTAAAGATGGGCCACAATGCTGCCGTGGATTTAGCAGCTGTAGTCCGATGGAAACCATGTAACAGCAATTTTCCTCGTATTCCCCTTTTTTTTCTTTCAGCGTTTGAACAGTGACATGATCATTTATGAGCTGAGTGAATTGCATGACCCTCAGGCCCTTGAAACCTGGTCAACCGCCAACATGCGATTTCAGAAATACATGGTTGTCAATGAGTAAACGGGCCCTCCATTCGTCATTGGAGAGGAACTTGTTTTTTTGCAGATACTTGTATTTACCCGACAGCAGCATTTTAGCTGCTGCTGGCCCTCCGCCTTGAGGGAAAGTTGGGTTTGAAGCCGGCATCCATCTCGGCAAAGACCACACATACACAAACAAGAGCAGCCGACACAGACTCCTTATTACCGGGGACTGAAAATACATATTTGATCATATTCAAGTCCAAATGTGAACATTAATTCACAAGGAGACGTGGATCCCTGCAAAGCCACCGCAGCCGCTCTGACACACCCAGAATAGACATGTACACACACCACTCGCCGACAAGAACACACATAGACAAAGAGCCTAAGGCCCCGAGATGAAAGACGCACACATGGATCCACGCATCATATGATCGACCCACAACCTACCCCTCCAAAAAACACACACACGCATGCACACATACATCTCCAGACACCCTGGGGAGAAAATAGACGCACATTCCTCCCACTTGTTCTCCATCTCTCTATCTCTCTCGCACACACCTTCACTCACACAAGCTGTGCGAGCCTGGCTTTCTCTCCATAAGCAGTTATTTCCCAGAGTCACTGCCAGCACTCGCTCGCTCGCTCAGTGACAAGCTACAAATCCCTGACACCACCACTGATGATAGCTTTACAGTAGAGCCTCAAGGGGACTCTGCCAGCCAGCCGACACACACACACACACACACACACACACAAACAACACACACACACACACACACACACACACACACACACACACACACACGCCTCTCTTTCTCCCCTCTTTCTGTGTGTTTGTCTCATTCTCCCAGGAGCCCCAGAGGCCTCTGGGATATGTGGCTCCCGACACAAAATGCCTTGGGTTTGTTTGAGTTAAACATCAGACTACAAGCAATCAAAGTGGCGAGGTTATAAAGAAAACACCAATTACGCCTGTCCATAAATGTGGAGATTTGTGTTTCAGTTGTGGAAAACAAAGGCCAGTAGAAATGTGTGTGATTATGTCCTTTTTTAAAGCACACATTGTCTTTTTTTTTTTTATCAAAGCATACCGCAGGACTTTGGCTCTACTCAAACAGCAATAAAATTTGTACAGTCATCACACATTATCATCTCCCCTGCACTAGATTGATTTATTAAGACAGAAGTCATGATATCATACTCACCCTGTTCCTCTTTTCTCTGTTTGATGAAGCTTTAATGACTCCCTCAGTGCGCCGTAATTATTCTACAGCCCTGGAGATGTTTATTTTGGTGTTAACTGGTCATAGCCGTGACCGTTTCCTCCATTATTACTCATTACAATATTTATTACTGTTCTTTCCATTTTGGATAAATTTGCTGTGTTAATAATGCTCTTCATGGGGGAAGTTTGTGTGCATGCAGTGTGTGTGTACGTGCACGTGTGTTTAATAATTTTCAGATCACAAGTGCTTTGGATTTATTGGCATATACCAATTTGGCTTTAATGAGATCACACACCTCCAGGTAGGTGCAGCTCCATCCCCTCCTCGGCTTGGGCTTCTCCCTCCGTCTCTGCGTCTGTCTGCCCTTATTACCATTTCATACAACCCCTCCACCTTCTATCACTGCAACCCCCAACTGATGAAAAACCAGAAAGGCTTTGTGTGGTTCATTAAGTCAGCATAGGAAATGTATTAAGTAGGAGAATAGGGCTGGGAGCTATTGAGTGTTGACTTAACCTTTCCAGGTTTTTTTTTTCTTTTTCCACCCAGTGATGCTTCTAATGGAGGATGCGTGCATAACTCTGTCTCATTAGTAACCACAGGGATCCGTTAGAACAAGATATACTGGAGGTTTGGACTTGCTTATTGTTAAATAACGTGACTGAGTGTACTGTACGGGGATTGCTTTTGTCTGCAAGTGGTTAAATGTTCTGTTATATGAACATTGTTCAACAAATGGTATGACTACAAATAAAACTTTAGACAGTTCTTGCAGGCTATTTTAGGTGTTGGTAAGTTTTTAGTCAAATCTAAAAGTTTGATTCAGAGTATCAGAAATTGTGATTATGACAAATTTTTGGTGCTCTTTATTGTGTTACTTTTCACAGTTTCTAAAGAAAAGGCACACGAAAGAACCTCACATAATATTTTTCCTTTTTTTTTAATCACAGCCCAGACTTGAGATACATTTTGCACAATCTTCATCCAGGACAGCTCAAGGATGGTTATTCCATCATCCTGCTGCCAAAGAAGTTGTCCTCCCCGATAAAACATTGCCCTTATAGAATCAATACTAATGGAGGAGTGGCACCCCAAAGTACTCTTATCCTCTAAAGTGGCAGACTGTGCCAAAAGTAATTGTACTCTCAAAGAGAGAAAAAAAGAAACATGTGAGAAAGAGAAGTCACTAATTGCCATTGTCAGCTATTTAGCTGCTAAAAAACAAAACCTTGTTCCAATGTGATTACTAAGTAATCCAGACAAAACACTGTTAGAAAAAAAGTGTCTCACTGTGGGGTTGTCACATATTTTAGAGGGAAGGGCACTGTGGTCAGTCTGCCATTACAATTAGTGCTCATTTGGGTCGGATTCTGTGAGATCTACACTGACTGCTGGAGATGCATTATGCATGAGTCTGTCCATATGCACTTGGGCCATCATGCATGCCCTTGTAGAAAAATGCATCAACCACCGGCATGCAATTACATTTAGCTTGTTTCAGCCTTCTCTGTGTGCATGTTCTGCTATGAAATAAGATTTTGGGCAAGTTTGCAGTATTTAGATAAAATGTTCTGATACTGATCATCACCAGTGGATGACAAACAAGACTGTAAACTGTGTTTCTTGTTTATGAACATCTTTGTTATTTCTTTTCAAACATTTGTAACAGCTGGGTTAAAAATATGTCTTCAGTTTGGGATTTTAAATTTGAGATAAACTAGAAGATTAAGTATTGTCAGGGGTTGACAAAGTCTCCTACTTCTTAAGCTCCAAAAACAACTTAAAAAGCAGATGGATTATCAGAAATTACATGTTGACTAAAGCAGGGCTAAAAACAGGGATGTTTTTTATGTCTCCAGAGAAGAAATTGTTTTGAAGACGCTTTGTTTTTATTTCATCCAGATATTTGATCTCAAATACTGTAAATGACCAACACAAGTTTCATCCTCATGTCTTCACTACACTAATTTCTGTCACCCTGTAAACACTATTCTCATTTATGCCACAGGGATATAACTTGTTATACAGTTGTGCTATTATGAGGATGAAATATTTAAATCTTTTAAGGATGTTATCATATTTGTTACTGATCTGTGTAGTGTCTGATTCTGGCAACTTTAAAACAATGAGAGCACAGCTACAGGCTGAATAATAGTGAGTAGGATTTTATAGAAAAGACTAAATCTTGAATAAAAAGAATCAACAAGTCAGTAAAAAAGGGATAGCAAAAACAAGATTAATTCAAATAAGTAATCTCCAAAACTAAGACACAGTTTGGTGACTAGAGTTTAAAATGAGGCTTTTTTCTGACAACCCAGACAACAAGTTCCCAGCAGTAATTCAAAGTTTCCAGTCAGAGGTAATAAACACTTGTCAGAACCAAAGGCTTGATGTGTGAGAGTTGCCATTGCCTGTAGGTGTATACTTCTTCGGGCTCTTCCCAGAGTCTGGACCACGGCTGGTCTGTCCACTGTATCTTTGTGGAAAATCTCCTGGAGGGAGATCTTCATCTCCTGCGCGCGGCTCTTTAGCGCCCCTCGGAGAGAAAGCCCATAATCGCAGAAAAGCCTCTAAGGAAGGAAGCGCCATACATCGGTGATGAAGGGCAGGGCACCGGTAAATTTGGCACTAGGTGTCTGTTGTGACAAGCAAAACTTTCCATAGCTGTATAGAGTCAGAATCGGGCAGATCATGTGACTCTGTGGTGTTGACGATGGCAGCCACCGTAAATACAAATATTATTGTTTAAGGAAAAATGATACACACCCCTCTCCTCTCCTCTCTCCCTCCCTGTCCCAGCAGCATCACACAGGAGGGGGAGAGGGGAGGGGGCACAGCTTGTTTATGTTTATGTGAGTGCGCGCGAGCTGGTGATGCTTGAGCTGCTGATCTAATAAGGCTTAAAATTATTTCTCGTTTCATTCACTGTGAGGCAGCATCATTTCTTACCCATCTTTCAAGTGAGCATCATTCAATTAAAATGCAATTCTCGTCTCCCCCTTCCACGGATATTTAATTAGACTGGAGAGCAGGGCTTCCACTGTCTTTTTTTTTCTACAACAGCTCTTCGGATTTCACCTCTAAGGCATATTTTCACTCTGTTACTCGTTGGTTAAACAAGGGCATGTATCCATTTGTTAATTGATACAATTACGCATTACGCGTAATGGTCACGTAGGTCTCCAGGCGCGCATCAATCACTGGTCTATTGACCTGCCAAAAACCCCTGTAACCGCTCCTGCTGGGACTGCCCTTCTGTCTAATAGAGAAAGATAGAAACATCATCGTCATTAACTCCGGGATGGACCTCTGGCCAGAGAGCCAGAGGCGAACAGAGGTCGAGATGAAAAGAGGAAAGGGAGAGGAAAAAAAGTCAAAGATGTGTTGATTTAATCAGATTTAATTGTGACAAGTTATACAAAAACGTTTAAACAGAAAATACACAGCGCACTTTCAAACTAACATATCTGATTCAGAAATATCCCCTTTTCACTTATTTACTTAACTTCACAAAGAGACTCCATGTGTTGCAATGCCACAATTCAATAAGGATGAAAAATAAAACAATTTCCGGAGCCTTTATATCGCAGCGAATCGGTGAAGAATTCTATTAGAAAAGCTGTACAACAGTGTGTACAGTGCACCTCAAGAAAAAGCCAGCGTCGGACGTGATTGGCAAAGACATTATTCCATCCTTGGTACCCTGCCGTTCCGGGATTACAGTGACGTCACGCTGATACCCTTGCATGGATGAATGCTAAAGAACTATAGAGCCACAAATAATAGCACAAGCAGAGTCCATATCTTGCAAGTCTTACGTTATCCTTTAAGCCTCCTTCAGCCAACACAACAACATTTTTTTTTGCACTTAATGACGCTTAATTTCATTTCTTATCGGGTCCTCGGGGGGGATTATTCATTCATATAAAACAATCTGCAGCTGGTGCCAGCCTAAAGTCTCCCTCCTATGAGTGAAGTCATCTATTATTGAGCGAAAGGCCGTGCGTGGAAATGTGTGGAAGACGGTGGATTTGAAGTAGAATTGGTTGCAATCGATCAAGGGTGAAGAATATTGCTGATGGTAACAAAAGAGGCAGCTATGTCTTTCTCGCAATTTGGATACCCTTACAATGCAACTTCCCAGGTAAGACGCTCTGCTTTTCATTTCTCCTAACTTCTGTGTACACACACAAATGTCTCTTTTGTCGTGTTGTCAGATTTTCTTTCATTTCGATTAAGTCAGAGCACTTTTCTGCTAAGAAACAAGCAGAATTAGTGGCTGCTTTGACGGTGCTGACAGCTTTTTTTTCCGTGTGCTGCGTTTGTTGTTGAACCAAATATCGATATACACGCACCCGTGTCCAATTACACTGAATTATGAATGAACTCACGTGTTTTTCTGATGACAATAGAGATGAATGTCACCTATTGCTCACTACGAGGTGTAATTGGGCTGTGCTGCATGCTGCGATAACTTTTTATTTGGATATCTGGGATGGATTGCATTAAAGAGACATCTCTATAACATATAAAAACATTTTTGGACTCAATTAAAGTTGTTTATTTACATTTTATAAACAAATATTGCCTCTGTGACAAGTTCAAGGAAGTTAAAGTCGATCCGAGGACAAAAGTTACTCTGATGAAAAAGTTGTCACCCAACTTCTGTAATATTTGTGAAGTTTGATGAATCTGAAATGACATGTGTCACATTTTTCTTTGAAATTAGGATTGAATTCACCTGACACTCACCTCACCATAACTCTTTCTCATCTCTCGACAAATTTAGAAACCGATGATAACCTGGAGCAGGTCACTTTTACGCACAGATTGCGCACGAATCTTTCTATCTTAATGTCAACTAAAATGTATTTTCTTGATAACATTTTCTTTCACGTGCTGTATACCATTGTCGTTTTGATGAAAACACTCACTATAGATATGGATACCTCGTGTTACAAACTTGTTTCTGTCAGGATCAGAATTTAAAGGAACGTGACTTACCTCAAATAAAGGCAGGTCACAGGTAAAGATAATAACACGTGATTCACAAAAAGTGTACAACACGCGGATAAAAGCTGACACTTTCTCTCGTTTAAGAATCACACTAAAATCACAGCAGACTGGTGAACTTAACTTCGTCATCTTAGTGTAGTGCAGTCACTTCAGATAAGAGCAGAAACATCCTCTGACCATTATCTATCCATGCTTCTCTAAATGCAGTTTTTCGTGTCGGCAAACCCCAGTACGACTTGCTGCGATTCGATCTCCAGGACAGTCTCTGACGGGACAGGCGGCTCCCAGACCGCCGCCGCCGCCGCCGCTGCCTCCTTCTGCTGCCCGTCCTACGAGAACCGGCTCCTGGCGAGCAGCCGGACGGAGCTGAACGCGGCGCTGGGCATGTACAGCTCCCCATACGCAGCAGCGGCAGCAGCCAGCCAGAACTACGCCAACTACTTCCCCTACAGCACCGACCCATCCGCGATCTACTCCACTCTGGTGGGTTCATCTGATGCGCCAAAGGGGGGGAGGGGGACTCAGCATGATCGATCAGATCAACCGGGTTTTTTGTTCATCAATTTATCTGTCACTGCTAACATATCCGCCTCGACATGCCGTTTAATCCTGCTTCCAGCCTGATCTGCCTCTGCAAAAAGTAAAAAAGCCTGTCACTATAGTGCATGGGGGAGTAGTGTGTAAGCAAGGCTGTGGAGCTTGTGACATTTTTAACAGTACAATTTTTATTTTAAAATATCCTAATTGTTCTAGCATGGAAAAAATATATCTATATAATGGGGATGTTTGCTCCTGAGATATATCAAGAAGTTAAAAAATATATTTTACCCCACAGTCAGAATTGTTTTCTGTGAAAAAGTCAAACTTTTAAGGCTGCACATGACTTCATTACCTGTTAATCTTACATTTTGAGGTGTTAAAAAGAAAGAAAAGTTTGAAAATATCTTTTTCAAAATACCTGAAGGCTCAAAAGAAAAAATATATAATTGATAAATTCCAAAAAATTAACAGTCCCATAAAAGATGTTGAAAAATACTTTTTGTTAAATGGTAAACTTGGGACGAATAGCTTGTTCTCCAAGCCAATATTATTCAGGTGTACACTTACATTTTTAACAGGACAATATAGCTTGAAATATGGTGAAACATTTTTAAAAAGATTGTTTACATAAGTCTTTATTTTTGAATATTGCTTGAATCTTAAAGGGACGTTTTTGTCTTTGACAGAATCCACAGTACGACATTAAGGACAGCACGGGCACTTTACACTCTGGCATCACTCAGACGGCTGCATACTATCCTTATGACCACTCACTGGGACAGTATCAGTACGACAGGTAAGTTCATGTCTCTGCACCTTCAGATATCTGAAGTCTTCCATCACTGAACATTAAAAGCAGTCATTCAAAGGGGGAACAGTTCAAAGGTCAGAGTGTAACTCTACACTGATACCTGCATGGAGCACAGCTGTATGAATTTTAAACAATGGGGATACAGGATGTCTGAGTAAACAGTAAATTTAATCCTTCACTACCTGAGCTGCTCTAAAAGCTGCTGTCTGGGCTTTTTCAAATCCAGATACGGGACGGTAGACTTTAACGGCACAGCCAGGAGAAAGAACGCCACCCGTGAAACCACCAGCACCTTGAAAACATGGTTATACGAGCACCGCAAGAACCCATACCCCACCAAGGGTGAGAAGATCATGCTGGCCATCATCACCAAAATGACCCTCACTCAGGTGTCCACCTGGTTTGCCAACGCCAGGAGGAGGCTAAAGAAGGAGAACAAGATGACCTGGTCACCAAAGAATAAGGCGGGTGATGACAGAAAGGATGACCTCAGCAAGAGTGAGCAGGACTGTGTCACCAAAGGTAAAACATTTGTCTGGACCTTTACAAAAGTTCAACTAAGATTACAGAAATGGTTAAAAGTTTTTTTTAACTAACTCTGTCAAAGTGGGAAACTTGATGAACAGCATCCCCTAAAAATCTCGTCTCTTTCATGCAGACTCCAGTGATTGCAAGGATGAGAAGGATCTGCACCTAAGTGATCTGGACGACATGGATGAGGACGACTGTGACAAGCTGGACAGTGACTGTGAGAAGGTGGCTGTAGATGAGCAGGACCTTCAGAGGGCCATGGCCTCTCAAAAGAGAGACTGCAGCTCTGACCTGCACCTGAGTTTAACTAACAGCTTCCAGACGTTCCCTTGCGCCATCAAAAGTGTAACCACCCTCCCTCCTCTCCCATCTGACTTCCTGGACCCAGTGGTGTCGAAGGCAGCTTCCTCGGCCGGTCTCACGGGAACGGTGTCCTTGTCTCACTTTGAAGCATCGGATAAGCCGAGGATTTGGTCTCTGGCTCGCACAGCAGCTTCTGGGGTCATTCTGAGCCCTCAGCAGCAGAACTCTGAGCAGCTGAGGACAGGGAACTCAAGTGGAGACTGCCAGCTCCAGAGCTCCAGGCTTAGCGGGACTCCTGGACAATGTGGGGGCATCAGAGGCCTCCATGAATCTAGCAGTGTGACCAACACTGAGAGCCCTTTCCCTGAGGGCTCATCATTGCACTCAAAGGTCTACGGCACAGGAAGTTACAGCCACAAAGACCTCCAGCTGCACTGTTCTTCCTATGCTGCACTCCCTGAAACATGCCAGTATTCCACTATTGAAGGTATGCATTTCTTATCCTGTGATGTTTGCAATTTACAAAGGTTTAACTGGTCCTCACTCTACAATTTTGAGAAGTTTTTTGTTGTAAACACAGATAAATATTGAAATTAATATGGCTTAGCACCAAAATGCAGCAAAATAAATATCAAGAAAATTTTTATTTGTTGACACCTATAAAAAAAATAAATAGATTATTTTAGAGTCTCTTGTCTAGTTTTGTAAAGAAGTTGCTTCAACGTGTTTTTTGTTTTGGGTGTGCGCAGGATTCTCTGGTGGCAAAGCAGAGTCACAGCCATCTGACCTCAGTGAAGCCTGCGGGACCGTGCAGGATGACAAGGTCACTGCGTTCAGACCAGTGATGAAGAGGTGAAGCAGGTGAGGGTCTGCACTGAACTGGAAGAAACCAGTGAAGTCATATCACACACACACACACATTCACTGCTAACACGAGGCACAGAAAAACACCATCTCACACACTTACAGGTGAGAAAGGGACACACTCACAGAAACAGTTGCCTGTTGATTGTTAAATATAAGATGCTAAAATGTTTGCTATCCACCTAAATATTATTTCTGAAAAATTATAGGTGACTTTTACACAAACCGCACAGATTATGGATTACTTTTGTGGAATAACAACCACCAAAATTTAAGATGATAATTATATATCAACATACATGAGTCATAGATTATTCCTTTACCAATGTGTTTTTTTTAGTTTATAATTTCTATTTTTCTTTTTGGTCTTCTAGATAGCTGGAATCTGCACCATCATGAAAAAAGGGACATATTTTATGCACTTAAAGGACACACTGGCTGAGCAGTGGCCTCAGTATTGAAGCTATGTGACGCTGCAGCAGCAGTGAGAGCTGTCAGACTGTGGACGTGGCTGTCATTTTGCACAACTTTGTTTCATATGGTGTTGAAGACTTTATGCAAAAATTCTAAATGCAAAGGTACGAGGCTGGACAAGATAAAAAAAGAACAAAAACGGCCGGATTTGTGTAAGGCAATCGAGTAGTGTTTAGCAGCCCTATTTATTTCTCTGTGTATTTATCATTTGGTTATGTTGTCTGTTTGTTTGTTGGTTATTTAATGTGTTGATCTTTCAGTGTTTTGTTACATGTTGCTTTTTACTGTGGCTTCGTGTCATTTGGCCTGATGTAAAAGAGAAATTGTCGTACATTATGTTGACCATATAAGGAGTTGATCCCCCTGTGTTGCGCGTGGACCTTAACAGTTTTGTCATTGTGTTCAAATGTGAGCTTCGTCTGTGTTTTTTGCCATTCAAGACATTTTTTCTAAGAATACATTTTTTTTTCCAAGAGCTCTCTCTTTTTTCCTCTGTGTCTGGTTATTTATAGAGCCAATTAAAACATTTGCGGATGTGCATTTGATCAAAGTTTCTCATCCTGACTCGACGCAGCGCTGATGGAGGGTCATAACTCACAGGGGGGACGTGAGTGAAATCCACAAGTTGTGGAAGAAAGGGGACATCATCTCTCCATTGTCAGCGTCTAATCACAAGTGGCATCAAACACTTTGTTACTGTTCAGGCCGAGCAACGAGGCAGAAACGCAGGATGAATGCTGCTTTGTCCCATGTGTAGCGAGCCGCTGCACTAACTTAACATTGTGTTCATTAAAAGGTCATTTGTAGGATCAAACCCGGCAGGGAAATTCACATGGTCCATCAAAGTCTCTTTGATTCGCCTGTTTTGCCTATAGTCCATCTCATTATAGGCCAACTTTTGTGGCTCCTCTGCAGACAGCTGTAATAAGATGATCACTGTAGAGAGAGATGTCTGCTGACAGCCTGATCAACTTTTGATCGTCACGACCCAAACTTTCAAAATCAAACACATCAGACTAAAAGGGTGCGGTGCAAACTCAGGATTGATTTTAACTACACACGATTTGGCTGAAATTGTGCGTAAATATAGATTTTACCAACGAGGCTGCCATAAAAATGAGACACACAATGTTTTAACCAGCTTGGGCAAAATTAAGCTTAATTTTTAACATTATCAAACCAGTGTTTTTTTACTGATGCTTTCTGACACGAACCCCATCGTTACAGCAAGAGCTACTCTTTCATCAGCAAAATTCTCTGACTGAGTTTGACTCCAGATCCCACTGTAACAGTACCTACAAATCGTCAACAACCTCACCAAAGTCATTTGAGGTCGTATTTGTGGGATTACGTCTGTAATAAAAGTCTTATGCGTAATTCAGGTTCATTTCAGAGGCGCGGTGTCCATCCTGTGCGTCCTTGGCCAATGGCGAAGCTGTCCGTGATGCACAGAGCCGCTAAATCCGGAAAAATACACGATGAGGATAAGGAAGGTCAGGAATAATAACTTAGGCCTATTTAGATTTTTTTTCTCTCCTGGATCATTTTTTTCTTCTGTGTTTATCTGAGACCCACTTAATGGTTTGCGTGACACTGGAGGCAGAATCAAAAACAAGTGCAGATTTTAATCTGGACCATAATATGTACAATAGAAATAGTTTTAAAAATATCACACCACAGAAGACACATAAAAACAGCTTTCTTTGCAGTTGATGATTTTTTTAAAAGGTCAACTGCAGGTGAGTCTGAACCTAAAAGCAAGAACTTTTATCAAAGTTTGAAATTCTGAAAAAACAGATAAAGCTCAGAAAACCACTGCTCCTCAGATAGGACCTGTCCTGCAGTATGGATGTTGAAACTGTTAATGATGCTCTGCAAACAAGGAGCCTCTCTCTTCCTCCTCCTCCTCCTCCTCCTCCTCTTCAGCTGTAATCAGTCCTGACGCCTGACGCGCTGCTCTTTACATGAAAATCTACGGTGTATATGTGTAACTCAAATATTTACAGCTAAATTTAATTAAAGCGGCGGCTGTAAAGAAAAAGCTGCCTTATGCTATTGAAAGTAATGATGCATGCGCAATGGGATTACCACCGTGGAGACGTGGGCTACCTGAGGGAAAGCGGAGATAATGGCCGTGATGGGCTCATATAGCGCCTAACAGGTCAATTAGTCTGTCCCATACACAGCGCAGACAATCAAGAGACACATCAGCAGCTGCCACACATCAGAAACTACACTAATGCTACTTACAGATACTATAATACGTGGAGACAACCAAGATCTACTCCGATGAAATAACCCTAAGTGAGGAAGAAGGGATAATAAATAGATGTAATTTGGGTGTTATTGGTGTTGAAGGACACAGCAGGAGGGGACAAACACAAGAGTTTTTTTTTGTCTGACATCCTTAATCTGAGGCGAGACATGAAATCTGTTGCAAAGTACAATGTTTGAGAATAATACGTTCCTTAGGTAGCCTTTACAAATAGCGCAACTTAATCTCCCTAATACACACCCTCCTTTCTTGTAAATTACATTTTTCATCAGGGAGGGGCTCGTAGTTGAGGGGTGTCTGCTGAAGCATGTTTGAATAATCCAAAACAGATTTTAGATAATCTGTGAATGAGGCACAAATATTCAAAAATAAGAAAAACAAGCTGTGATAAACATGAATACTTAAACAGGTTTGACATCTTTAATCTGTGACTGTGCCTTGTCATAAATCAGGGGTGTTTTAGACTCATATGTCTGACTTATAAGTGTATATTTAGTAGACCCTCACCTCTCCTGTACCATCTGGGGTCACTGATCTTTTACGGACCAAGTTGCTCACCACCTTTATTCTGATGCTCTTTTCAAGTCAACAGGCCAGCTGGCTGTCAGGAATAGTGTACTATTATGTATTGTACAAACTCACAGTGATTGATGCCTTAATTTAATCTCAACAGTTTCTTCTTTACCGTCAGAGTTTTTTTTTTTCCTTCTTTAAATCTGATCATCATCCCAAAACTTTTTTTTCCCCCCTCTATAATACAAGACAAAGTGGCAAAACAAGTGACTGTTTTTCTGTCAGTGTGCTATTTTTAGCTTGTCTCTCAAAAGGGTGTGACACTAAGTAGTGAGGGTTAAAAATCTTAAAGACACACAATGATAAGGTAACTTTTCTAGCTTTAAGATGCTCTATAACTGCATTATTTTGTCAGGAGTATTAGTAATGACCACTCTCACACTTGGAAATGCGCTCAGAGTTGTATTCTAAATATCTTCATGACTCAACTCATAGAATTAAAATTCTCACTTCTTAATAGTATGCTTTTCTTTTCATTTTGAAGGACAGTTGGTAACTATGTGTGTGTGGCTTTTGGCAGCTGACATATTAAGGACAAGTCTGAGAAATCTACTATTTGAGTAAAACTTTTACCAGCTGAAATGTCGAACATTAATGTTTGCAGCCAGCAGAGGAACATAAAGCTCCATGTGTTAGATTGTTTTCTTTTTTTCACATCTTGTAAGACACATATCAGCTTAATGCCACATCACTTCAAATGTTAAAAATACAACACTCTAAAGAAATAATAGTGAGGTGCGATAATCACCATCATAGAAAAACTCAAGCTGCTTGAGTGGCGTGGAAGTGAAGCAAGTTAATGTGACGTCACCTTTACACATTTGCTATCTTTATTGCTAGTTGTCTTAAACTGGGGTCCAAAGGGGTGCAGGGCTGGTTTAGCAATAAGTGCTACCACGGTATGTTTATTGGAGATAATACTATAGGTCAATAAGGGGTTAACCTCTGTCAGGAGCACCCAACACATGTGCACTTTGCATTCAGGCCTCCTCTTAATGAGCATGTGCCTGCGACATAGAATCATACGAATTATTCTGACACGATAGTGAGGGCCCCTTCAGATAAATAGGAGCCATAACAACAACAACAACAACATCTCAAACAATAATTTGCCCTCTGCTCTGACCAAAGAAGCAGCATGGAGGTGCCATTTGATGTGTCCCACGCTGGGCAGCCCGGGCTCATAAAACAAAGTCTTTGTGGCAGTGGCTCAGGGTTCAGATGAGGGGGACAATACGCACACTTCATTACATTTTGTCAAAAGGCGCAATGAAATGTGTGTGGGACATTGTTTCTGTGCATGTCTCCCTCCATGGAATTTCTGATTGCCGATGTTGCTACAAGGTCTCCGCTAATGAGTTTTGTCAAAGACAATTATGGACTTGGTGGAATGGCCAGAGAGTGGATGAAAAGCTGGCTTTGTGCGGTTTGGGTAGATGTTGCATTGTGACCCCTGCGTCTTTCTATAACCCCTGTTTGACCTGTGCTGTTCGTGTCCGGAAGAATCCAGGCCTCTCTGCTCCATCACCAGGGCTGGAGTCCAGGCAGAGTGATCTGCTCCAGCACCTTTGCCCTCTCAGTCGTTTCCCTGACTAGATCCAAAGTATGAGGCTGGGGCACAAATTGATGCCACTGCTGCCATTTCCCAGGACCTTGATTCTGTGACAGACTGTTCATAGAAAGTAAACCTTTGAGTCCTCTCTGGTCATTAAGCGTTTGAAAGGAAAACTGCGCCTTTCAAAGTGTGTCACTGTTGTGGTGTCAAAGCCATGGCTGACCCCTGGAAGGCCATAATAAAGCATAAAGGCAAGAGTCACCCCATGAAGAAATCAGTGCTTTCATGGCTTCTACTAATAACCTAATGATAATCCCTCGGTGTCAACTGCTAAAATATCAACCAAAAGACAAGGTCAATCTCAATCTTGGACCACATGTAACTACGATAACTAGTACAAATGGTACTCAGAGAAAAGATTGCCATGTTTTCTTTAACCACATATAGGCGTAAGCAGGTCAATCCCCTCTCAAAAGGTTAAAAAAACAAGCAATGAAATAACTTCTTAACAGAGTACCAGTAGGAGAGGTGATTTCATACACAGCCTGAATCCCTACTTTGTTCCCAGAGTGCTAAACTTCATGCACTCTTGTTCCTGTTATCTTGTTTGTTCTTATATGTTTGTCTGCCGGACTGGTAGTTTTCTGCGGCTGACCTTAACACTGGCGTCACCAGCACCAGAATAATCCTATGTGTCATGCCCTTTAATAACACCCCCCTGATCTCATTTTTAATCTTGCCCTCTCCTTCCCCTTTATGTTGGGCATCTGTTGGCCTTTAATGCCTGCTGTTGAGTGTGTGTTTGGATTTTAAAGGTTGTATCATGTCGTGGTATGACCAAATGAGTGGATGTAAACATAGAATTTCCATATTACACTATTAAGCTTTTTACAAGTTATGAAAAATTAAATGTAAGATGTATGATGTACATGTGAGTGACTATTGGAGTGTGTGGACCTTATGATAGCATGAAAAGCAGGGAGCACATTAAAGGTACAGTGTGTAGTGTTCAGGGGCATTAAGAAGACACTTGGTACAAACTGAGTGATTTTCACCAGTATGTTTAAGTAAGAGTATGACTACCCTGGTATAGATATATATATTATCTTTGTTAACTCAGGATGAGCTTTTTATATTGGGTA